TCTCTCTCTCTCTCTCCCTCCCTGTCTCTGTCTCTCTCTCTCTCTCTCTCTCTCTCTCTCTCTCTCTCGCTCTCTCTTGCATTCGTGCAAAACTAGCAATCAGTGCAATTCCGACAATCCAACCACCCCCGGCATCGTCTTCGGTTTAGCTTCGATTGAAGCTGCTTCAGAATTCCGCCTTGTGGCTTGGCTGTGTTTCAGTGTGCCCTTCCACCAGTCCAACTCCTGGTGTGAGTTGTTTCTCATCCAAGATGAATTTAGTAGCATCAAGATTTGATTCCTACAAGACACAGCAACTGCATGACTTATCGAAGGATACCAGCGATATTTGGGCGACTGCGAGCAGAGGGCAGCAGATGGCCAAAGAGAGATTACTTTCGATGAATGGGCCAAGCAGTGCCGTCGGCTTCGCTTTGTCTCTGACTCATTTAGACTGCACCTCGGATGATTCAAGCTTTCTTGCTCTACGAATCAGGTACGAATGGCGTTATGATGCCGACGAGCGGTTCAAGGCCTCCATGGCCTCCCGAAAGTAAGCAGGTGCCCAGTCAAAGGTGGACAGGTTTGAATGCCTGGATGTGTGGTAGTCGCAGCTGAAACTTTGGACCATGTTGCAGGCAAGACAGATGTATCCGGAATATTTTAATCACGCCGGACCAGCTCCGCTCCCTGTGGAGGATTGGGAGGTGGGTGCCGGTCGGCTGTGAATCTGCTCGTACGACTGTCTGCCAGTGTCTAGAATGGAGGTGGATTACCTAACACACAAGGAGATCCAGAAGATCATGTCTCCAGCTCAAACCCTTCGGCAGAGCCGCCTCTCTAGACAGCCTTGGACTTCTCAGGTATCGGCGCCAGACCGAGGCAATGGGTGCACGCCGACGGGAGAAGGAAGCCAAATTACTGCAGAAACCTGCAGAGGCGGGAAGCCACGATACACCCGTGTTCGATGCGGCAAGTTGCATTCATGCTCAGGACTCATCCAATACCAAACTGCATGTGGACAAAGAGGATGAGCCGATTCTTCGGGATGCTGTCATCAAGAAAGGCACGGGCTTGCAACGAGGATTACTGATACGTTTTGCTTGTGTCCTCGTGCAAGGCTACAACTATTGGTGGTGATCTCTGAGAGCTGTGCGACATGGTGTAAAGCAAAAGCCTTTTTGGTATGGCTGTGTGCAGTCACGCCTCTTGGCACTGCTGGCATCACCGATGTAGATCGAGAACCACGAGGAACAAGCGGCCCGCTGCCGTTTCGCGGGGCTTCTGAGCCAGACTGTTGGCTCAGGGTCAGCTCCAAGCTGTACAGGGGTACGAGGATGATGTGGACCATCTGAGCTCACATGAGCGCGACTTACTGAGGGCTCCGAAAGGCATGCGAGCTAGACAGAAGCCTTGGCCTTGCCAGTTATCTTGCCAGAGGGATTCGGAGCACAATGAGCATGCTGCAGGCAACCGAGAGGAATTGGATGGCCACTTTTCAGCTGTACCGCATCATTGAGACATGGCTTGGCAAGCGAAGACAGTCTTTAGTCGTACTAGGCAGCTGCCAAGCAGCTTGGATGGTTAGCCCGTTTCCCGAGCTCAGGAGCAGCAGATGGCATATGCAAGAGTTGTGGCCTCAGCAACATCCCCGTAAAGGGGATTTGCGGGGATCTTTGAATGGCTCAGGTTGGAATTGAGTGGGATCCATGGAAGATCGCTGAGCAGGCGAAGTGAAACGGCGAGCTGCGGAGAAAGGGCATGAATGAAGAAGCGAGCGTCCATGCGTGGGGCGTCGTAGGGCCCTTGCGCAAACCCTGGTCACTAGTGCTTGCAGGTCCGTGTCGGGATGTGCAACCTGTGGCGTCATCCGCAAAGTCAGAGCAAGCCAGGATCGTCTTGTTGTTGTTCCTCAGGAAGACGGAGAAACACATGCTTGTTGTTGTTCCTCAGGAAGACGGAGAAACACGTGTGACCTTGTTCAAGATTCAGTGTCAAATTGTCCTGGATGCATGCCACACTGCACAGTCTCTCGCCCCGTCGCGTCAGCGGGGGACACGTCGTACAGTGGGTGTTTTTCCGCTTGCTTGGAATCGATGCTACAGTCTCAGCCGCCCTATCCGTCATGAAGCATGTTGTTGGTTTCGAACGCCGATACTCATCGGGCTCACCTCAGGGCAGGCCATACAGAGGCAATTGCGAGGCAGATGCGCCGTAACTAACATGCATTGAACATTGAACGAGATGCCATCCATTGCATTCCATAACTTGGTGGCAGTCAGGGGAGAATCGACTCAAGCCTGGCTGCCCCAGACTTCTTCCGAAGCTTTGTGCAGCGACAGACTTCATGACCGCAGCCGTTTCAGCATCATAACGCTTGTCCTGAAGAGGATGAGGGTTGCCCAGCTTGATCGGCATGAGCTGGCGACTCGGATCGCCTGTCTTCGTGCAAGACGATGCTCAACTTGTGGGTCGCATGACTGGCGTTGCTTCGCCGAGTATCACCATGATCCTTGAAGCCTGCGTAAGGCCAACTGGCGGGCAAGTTGGGGGCAATTTTCAATGTCCAGCACTTATTCAGTCGAGAGGTAAAGCATGGCGGGCAGGGGTAGGGTGAGAACTTGGACGACTCGAGGTCTTGCCCATACCTGTCTTCGCAATTGATCTACAAGGTCGGGTAGTGGAGTCTTGACTGCACCATATGACAGAGTGGCCAACTGCAGACTCTGGACCTGCGAGACCATGGCTTGGCATGTCCAGGAAGCCAATGCAGCAGCAGTGGAGATCTGCGGGTTTAAGACCCAAGTGGCATGGCCTGAAGATGTTGTGAGCGGCCAGAGCAAAGTCATTTCCGGGTGGTGGTCTGAATTGTAAACCTGCTCGGGCGCGAGATGAGCTGCGGTTTTGACTGTCTTGAATGCCCTAAGCAACAGTTGAACGGAGGCTGAGTTGCTGCAGAAAGACTTTCTGCAAGCCCTCGTCGCCGATGAGGACTCAAAACAGCTTGTCGAATTGCGACTGGGGCCTCTGCATCGGTGCCAGGACAAAGCAGATGCTCGAGTCCGACTGAAGGAGGTCTTGGAAGGCCATGGAAGTGGAGAGTCGCTGAAGGCCTTCGCAAGCAACCTGAAGCTGCAAGCTGCAACATGGATGCAAGATGCCCGCTGCAGGTTACAGCAGTGACTCGAACCGGCGATGGCCTTAAAGTTCCACCATGCCAGAGTCTGCCAGAGAGAGGAATCTCCCAGGCCGGAAGCAGGCATGCCTGAAGGCTGCTACAACCCGCAGTGCAGCAGGACTCCCCTCGAGTTTGGGGTGTCGCCTTTTACCACAAACGGAACAAAGACCTCGCAGGAAAGCTCGACGGTGCAGTCATATGCGTCCAAGACATGAGTGAGATAAAGATGCTGGCAGGTGCGGCTTGTACAGTTTGCTCGGTCAAGCTCGCGTGGAGCGCTCTTCGGGTTTCTGCGTAGAGCTTTATTTACACTCGAGACAGGTAGTGCGGCACATGCTGACGGTGCGGAGCATCTCTCTGGTGCGTTGTCTGCTACTGGAATGGCTTTGCTCCCTAAATGCATCGAGAAACACATTCCGGACGGCTGCATGTGTAGCCAGCAGCAGCACTCTGCCCGAAGGTTCTGCATCGACAAGGAGTGCAAGATTGTTGAGTGGACACCGAAGATGGAGATGCTTGCCTGTATTTGCCAACTATGTCATGGTTGCTCAACTGCTGCACAGAGCTCGCAAAGGAACCAGTCTCCCATTGAGTCATTGGCCCCCGAACGACTTTCGCTCGATAATGCAAATTGCACGGACTGGTATCTGAATGTATCTGCTGTCAGGCCGTGCACGTAACGTGCAACACAGACACACATATACGTATGCGATATTATGCGATGCAAGGAAGTTGACTGGATACCTCGCCGGTCAGGCTGGCGCGGATACGTGTCGGTCTGCGCCAATCCCGGCCTTAGTTGTAGTTGTCTTCGGGTTTAATTACCATCGGCGGCAGGCCAGCAATCAAGATGCGACCTTCTGTGCTCTCGCTACTGGGTCGAGATGGAGATCTTCTTGCCAAGTTTTGTCTGTGCTTCCCTCCCGGCAGCATCATCCGAAGGCCAGCTCCCAAGCCAGCATGAGGAAGGGGCTGGAGCAAGCGCTGCGTGGCATGGTTTGCAGTACGCGGTTTGTGGAACGTTTTGACAAACAATTCCTAGTCGATTCGAAACTGCTTTAGTCCCTGGGCAAACTTTGCACAGGTGGGCTGGACATTCCTCGCTACAACATCAGCATAGAGCATAGCAGTGCTTGCCCGAGCCGAACCAGACAACTCTGTCAGAGAGTATGTCTGGAATCTTGCTGGTTTGTGCTTTCGACTGCCTCAGGTGGCCGGACGAAGGAAGCTTGAGCTGTTTATGCATGCAAGAAGCGTTGGCTTTCTGAGCCATTGCTGAGTCCACAGGGTCCTGCACTGCTCAGGATGCTTGGTTAAGTGTGGTCCCATGGCGGTCAGCCACCGGCAGCATCGTGGGGGCAGTTGCAAGCTTCCAAGATGCGGAGGAGGTGGACCGGAGACTGGGTGAGGCGAGACGGTTTTGTGCAGAACAAAGTATACGTGCTGCACCCGGTACGAAATTGGGGGCAGGCAGACTGGATTCGAGTGGCTTGGCTTCACTGATTTGTATTTTCATCTTTCGGTGATGTCAGCAAGAAGCTTACAGCATGGCATCTTGAGTGCGATTCGCCGTTAGACTGCCGTGGCGGAGCAACTGGACCGAGCCAATGCGGCGATTTTCTCCATCGACTCCAATCTGCTGCTTGTCTTCAACGTAGCTATTGACCACCGAGGCACTCCTAGTGCCAAGTGGTAACCAACTGCTGTGCAGTTCACTCTTTTTGCAAGACGCCGCGCGGAGCGTGTGCTTCGGGATACTTCCGGTTCGTGACAGTGCACCTCGACCTGGCCAGACTCTCCTGGGGCTCCAAGATGGACTTGTTATTGCTGTACTAGATTCAAACCCTGTCTGAGTTTGTTTCTTTTCGACGGAATCGTCTCTAAGCCGGATCGGTAGATTGCTCGTTGGTGATTCTCAGGGTCTTTCAAAAATGTGGCCGAGGTGCATCACCGAATGGAATTACATTTTGGAAGACCGGAGCGGCAAAGAGAAAGAGAGCGTTGCTGGGCCACTTGATCTCAATTGGCAAGAATCAATTAATCTTCATGGCTTGCAGTGAGCGATCTCGTCGGACGGATGGGCCGAGGGCAAAGTTACTGGATCTGCTTGAGACGGATTCGCGAAGCCGAGCGGAAGCAGCTGCCAAGACAGCCCTCGCCGGCGAGTTGGGCTCAACTCTACAGAGCCTTGCCTCTTACAGCCTGGTGCAGCTGTTGCTATCTGCTATCATGTCCTTCCTTGATCGCTTGATGCACAGATGAGGATATCTTTGATGCCTGGGATGGACATGGTGGTGGGATTTTCCCCACAATTCAGCTTCACTGGCAAGGCCTGTTTACACGGCGTCACTTTCCAGGGCTCAAATTATACCTCCCGTTCGGGAGGAGACAATGCATGTGTCGATCCTGTTGTAGAGTTGTTTGGTTTGGATCCTCTAGCTGCAAGCCACTACAGGTTTCGCCATGTTGTTTCGCCGACCACTTTCACAGTTCCGGCTCGCACTGGCGGTCCAATGGGAGTCTACTCCTTCGGATTCGACTCGAATCTGTTCACGAAGTTGTCAGTGCACCAAATCGTGGTTGCATGGCTTGTCTGACACAGTATCGAGCGGACACATGTTGAACCGTTCTAGTACTGTAAGTGGAACATCCGAAAGGATTGGCGAACTCAACTGCAGCATGACCGGTCTGTTTGGAGATGCATCTTTTGGGCCGAACAAAGAAACCGGCATGACCGTTTCTGAGGAGCTTGCCGAGAGACTGAGCAGACGTCATCGCTGTTGGCCTTCATTCCACTTCACCCACCCATGATCTGGGAGAAATGCCCTTTCCTGGCAGCAGCAGCAGCAGCAGCACCACCACCACCACCGCCGCCGCCACCACCACGACCACGACCCCGCCTGTTGCACGGCGGTCTTTCTCACTTGACCAACAGTGTCACAGTGTTGCTGAGTTGTACCTCTGGTTGATAGTGATTGCTATTTGGCACCTCCGGAGACTGTGCACGGAACGAACTGTCTTCCTAATCCGCGAACTGGAGATCGCTGAAGTCCTGCCCGACACAGACTGGAATCGTGCTTCGTCATCGGCGCGTTTGCACCCACCACAGTCTGCCAGGTCATTGGTGCGCTGGCAGTTGGTCAGCTGCTGCCATCTGGCGGTTCCACACGTGCGTCGCCACAGGAAGCTGGGACATCCCACACTACGAAGGCCTTGGCCTTGATTAGGGATCGCAGCCGCAGCCTATTCCATTCAGTTGCGAAATTAGCAACGAGTTCATCTAGTTGTTCAGGGCTGTTTCCTCCATTGCTTTATCATGTCCCATCTGAGTCGCTCGTCAAGGACGCTTGACGAGCATGTTGCCTTCAATGAGCTTCCTTGACTATCTTGAGCTGCAAGGCCATGATTCTTCACGAGCTTCGCTCTCCTTTGCATGGCATCCTGGGTCTGGCAACCACGCTGTCACAGGACATTGCGCAGCATGCTGGCTTGTGCGACTTCTCCAGAGTATCTTTGTGTTCATTCAGTGTTTCTGCCACTACTGCCGCTCTCCCCATTTTTCCACGTCGATATTTCTGTCCTACAGGTTGCTTTTCAGTTGTTTCGCCTGGCTAGTTGGTTTTTGTTTGCTGGCTGCGGCTCTTTCCTTTTTCCCTTACCCTTTCACGGCAACTGCGGTAGATGTTTCTGCTGCTTCTGCTGCTCCTGCTGCGGCTGCGCGGAGGAGGGGTGGGTGGTGTTGGTGGCGGTTCTGCTCCCTGCTCGGGCCCAGACAATATCAAAGCTGCTGAAACGGGCTAATCAACCATGCTCCTTCGTGAGTTCATTTGTACACTGCAGGACACTGGTCCTTTGCAGAAACCGCGGCGCAACTGAAGCAGACGTTGAAACAAGGGCAGGGCACCAGATGGATTCGCACTTTGTGCTGCTAAGGCTTGGCATGATTGGTTTGAGCGTGCCGCAGCTGACTTCGAGCAGTGTTTGGGTGTGTCATTGTCAAGGCAAACGATAGGAGTTTCCAGCTCGGAATCCCTGCTTTGCTGGGGTGGGTTGTTTATTGCTCTTTCAGGCAGTCGGATTCCTTGTTCTGTCGGTAAGGCAAACCCAGGCAATTGAACTTGGTTCATAACATCGCTATGCTTCCGAAGAGCCTTTGTGAGGTCAGAGTCGGTCCTTACCACGACAGGGCTTAGGTGCACACTGACAATCTTTCCAAGCACAACGACAAGCTTTTGTCTTACACTGACAGGGGTTTAGGTTCAACCCTAGCAGTGTGTGGGGGAATGGGGCATCGCGCGGGAATCACAATTTTGGCAGATCTTAACGCTCAAATCAACCAAAATGGTGATCCCCCTGCGCGCCAGGGGAGTGCGTGCGGGAATGTTCGAAACAAGGTATCCCCTCCAGTAAGTACCAAAATGGTGATTCCCGCGTTCCGCAAAATCTCCTGCCCCAATCAGTCTGCAACAACGTTCACGAAAGATTGTGATGGCGAGCCTGCGGTACGGCCTGTCTTGGCTGGGGTCAAAAGTCTCATCGTCCGGCTGCGTAGAACAACCTGCACGGTTTTTGAATGGAACTCACTGACGCTGATGCTGATATGTGCTGCTGATGCTGATGTGTGCAGCTGCTGCTGATGCCTTGTCGTGGTGAGCTGTCCATGCGCTGTCGTGGTAAATGGGTTTTTCTGAATGAGCTCTCGAGGTCAGAGTAGGCACGAAATTCCAAGGACATGTGTCTTCAGATGGCCATTACAAGTTCACAAGACTTTAAAGCCATAGACTATAGACCACGCAAGCTTCGATCAATCTCGGGGACTTTCCATGATGTTCGTCCGCATTGACAGATTCACGGCATTTACGTTACTGCATCTTCCCGCTCTGCTGCGTGTTCGTGACACCGTTCTGGCCGTGGCAAACTAGCCAGCCCTCATGGTTGATGTGGACCACATGTAATGTGTGCAGGGACAAGTCCGTCGAACGACGCATACGCCGGCTTCGTGTCGCCCGATGTTTTTCAGATCCTCTTCGCACTCCCATCTCGACGCCACGTCGTCGTACACCGGGTCTGAGATTGCGGCGGCCATCTCCATCTTGGAAGACGCCGTCGACGCCGGCGTCGTCCACTTTGGGCAGTGGTCGCGCCTCCAGCGTCGCACCGGCTGCTGGCGATCGGCACCGGGCGGGGCAAGAGGACCTGGCACAGCTGGGACCGGCGTGGGCCTTTGCACCGACGAATGGCGCCACCACATCCATGCGATAGGGCGCCCGGTGGAAAGGAGCCAGCGATCAAGCTCGTCCTGGCAGATTTTAGTCCGCCGCGATGCTGGAGACTGGCCCCCTGACTTTCGCCAAAGCCAACGTCTCCGACGCAGTGTGCCGGGAAGACTTGGAGATGGCGCGGCGCCGGCGCAGAGCATCTTGCGGATGCTGGCGAAGGCGGTCACAAGGACCTTGACTTCGCCGCGAACGCCACGGCGGATGAGCTGGTTCACCTGGCGGTGTGAGGGGCTGCCGGCGCAGACTGGGAGCGGGGAGCGCCAAGCGGGATGCGGAAAGAGTCCCTGGCGCTGCCCTGCTCTGGCGAAGGCGACGGACCCGGCGCGATGCGCTTCCTACCATTCACAAGACCGGTCAGTCCGTCGTACCTTTTTGGGAATGCACGTCGGGTGTCGAACTTGTCGTGTAACACATGTAATGTGTGCAGGGACAAGTCCGTCGAACGAGGCATACACCGCAGCTACTGCAGGCTTTGCGACCCGGCGCGACGCGCTTCCTGTCATCCTAGAAGGGTCAACCCGTCATACCATTTTGTGAATGCACATCGGGTTTTGAACTTGTCTTTTTTTGGCAGGTCCTTGTGACATGATGATGAGGGCAGTTACACTCGGTCCTTGAACAACGTGCCCACCTTTGGAGACTTCACAAGGTTGCCCAAGTCTAAGCTCTGCTCACATTTGTTGTTCGAGATTCTGTGAGCATACCCCGATGTTCAGAAGGCCTCGCGCACATGGCGACGCGCAAGGGTTCCTAAGCTCCTAAATGTCTTGCATGGAACCGGGATATGCAGCAACCCTCAAGTGTCAACTCAGGCAGAGCGAGTCCTGAACTTGACTACCAACATCATTGATTATTGGAGCCTTTGTTGCAATCAGAGCTGACATGGGACAGGGAGGCAACTGTCCTGCAACAAGGAATTTCTGCGACGAAGCGAAAAGAACTCCCGCGAGCAAGGATGAGGTTGTGGATTTGCTTGTGCTGCAGCCCGCATTTCAATGTGTGATTCGACTGGGCTATACTGGACCGGAAGGCTTACTTGCTGCTGTTGAAGTGATTAGCAAAAGCACACATATCATCAACAATCAACGACACCGAACAAAGTTACTAAAAGCCACGAACATAATACTTAATTCATGATACTATTGTTCGGGCGGAGTAACAGAAACCATAACAAGGCCAGGTGTACAACTGGCAACTCTTGTATGTGTGAATACGACAACAGTCGAGCTTGAATATCCAAGGCCTCGACGAATTCTCCATTGAATTTGCTAGCAACTAAGGTTTGAACTGGCTATCATATATTATCATATATTCAGTTAGGTTTACCTAATCAAGTCCTACTCCTCTTCAATGGACGTTTCGCTACAAATTTCAAAAACGAGTCGCGCTCTTTCTGTCCTCACTGCGAGGTGCTTGCAAAAGAGTGCATCTCCAAGTGTGAAGCTTTCAAGGACAAGAAGGGCAAGCCCCTCAAGAAGGACCAGGCCCTTGCGCTGCAATGCATGGATGAGCTCGGGTTCGGGGCGCGCAGGGAAGAACTGATTGTGACACCCCCTTTCACACCATCCGAAACTGTAAACACGAGCGGCGCGGAGAAGAGACGGGGACTCTGCGGCAGGGTCGTCACTGCAGACTGAAGCGGTGCCAGACGATTCAGTGCTCTCATCACAACTGGGTGATGGCATTGGCGCGCGGGGAACTCTTGCATGACATATTGATCATCCAGGCACAGCGCCATCCTTCAGCAAGCTGTTAATGTTGGCATGGCCTTCGTTTGGCTTGTCGCACTGTAGCTCGCAGTGAGCCAAGTACAGCTTGACGAGAGCCAGCATTGTGCCTCACTGCCAGGTTTCTTTTGCTTGGACACAGGGGTCCAAACAGCCCTTTGTACATAATATTATGTAATGTTTCTAGTCCGCCGCACTACCATTTCGACCGCAAAGGCTTCAAGCTCTGCCTCCGTATTTGTTACTCCGCTGCGGCTTTCGTGGCCCCGTTCTCACTCGGGCGCTTGGGAGCTTCCGAGCCCAGAGTCTTCGCATCCAAGACAACAGAAGGAATACCAAGCGAGCATGAGAGACCAGGCAAACTTGCGGTGACAATTCAGAAGTGTGGTCCGGTGGCGAGGCCCTGCAGCATACTGCAACTCAGGCTGAAAGGCTGAAACCGATGCGGGCTGGCCCAAACCTGTTCCCGAGCCTATGATGCTCTTGTACGCTGAGTGGCAGCCGCCAACTCCAAATCGGAGGTTCAATTCACGAAGAACTTGCAAAGTGTGACCATCTCCGGCGATGCATACCAGCTGACTCAGATGATGATCCACATCCTCACGAATGCCACGTGGATGCAAGCAACCACCAGTTGTAACAAACGAACGTGCGGACCGGAGCCGGAGCCTGCGATGCAGCCTGAGGCTTTCAAATTCTCCTCAGAGGGAGAGGCGCTGGACCGGGACAACTGTCTTCTCCGTCCGTCCACGAACCTACCGGCGGAAGGTGACCTTCACCGTTGAGAAGAACGAGGAGACCAATTCTGCTGTGATCACGGTTACAGACACAGGCTTGGTTGTCCTGCACTCTGCACTGCTTCGTGTCCTTACCTCTTGCACCGCCCCAGTGACATCCCACACTCAATCTTATGCCAGGTGCTGGCAAAAAACCTGAGAAAAGGGACAGTGCCTCCACAGTCTTGGCGCAGTCTTGCGGCTTTGACCGCCGTGTAGTGTCTCCATAAGCAGATGCGTTGCTTGGGTTTCGTGCTTCTGCGCAGGAAGACTCAACCGAGAGCCGCTACTCGGCCACAAGAGCTGCGCCCCGTAGCCTGTCGCTGGGAGGGCCGTGTTTTCAGCCCGGAACTTCAGGAAAACACGACGGCATTGACGTTGGGCTGGCCTTGGTGCGGGAAGTAGTGCGGATACACCATGGGAGTCGTGTCCTCGTTTGCAGCAGCTCAGTGAAGCCTTGTAACTGAGTCGAATCTGTTCCGATGCCATCCGATGCCATAGATGCTAAGGATGCACCATTGAGCCAATGCCGGGCAAGGGCACGTCGGTGCAGGCACTTCTCTAAGTTGTGCTGTGCATGCAGTGGCTTCTGCCGTCGAAGCACGAACAGCCAAGGTGTTTCTTCCTTGCAGTCCACCCTCCGACCACGCGCCTGCTGACGGTACACAGGTCTTTGGCGTGCCATGCAGTCCTCACAGGTTACACAGCTACGCTTGGGAGGGGGGGGGTGAGGCCATGCTGGAGCCCGTGAAGGTGCTATGCCAAGCCTTCATTTTGTGTCATTTTGTGGCCTTCGGATGCCCTCGGTTGCGCCAGGTGCCACTGCCCGGCACGAAGCCTCGTGGACCTCCTTCATCCTGGCTTGGCCCAAGCACGCAGATTGGCACCTGGGTTCGCAAATCCTGCAAATAATGGCTTCGATGATCTTGTGCTGTGCTTGAAGGGCAGCTTCGTGCATTGGCAATGCGCGAGGCATGCAAATCAATGCAAGGCCATCACCACCTATGGAGGGAGGTGGCATTGGACCGACTCCTGCGTTTGTTTGTTTCCTTTTTGGGCTCGTCTGACCTATTCGCATCCTTGAAACCTGATGTTCGCCTTGCACAGTGCACGGAAGCGCAATTTGTAAGCACTTCAATCGCCCGCACGTCTGGAAGCTGCCCGCTTTCCCCGCTATTCTCGCAGCAGCTCGCTGCAGGCACGCAAACTGCCTCATCACTGCCAGCTTTGAAGGACACCTTCGGCAACAAGCTTCAAAACAAGCTTGAACGCATACATTCTGTGCTCAGGATGGGCTGTCACCACCCATCAACTTTCAGGACTTCTTGGCATACCTCACACCCCTTCGCACTCTCGGTGGCTGTGTCTTCAGACACTTCGGCGCCAGGACGAGGAAGAGGATGGCCAAAATCTTATCATGTCTGTTGACGATGACTTCGTCAATCAAGAGGTTATGCGGTCCATCTTGGAGCCTAGCGGATTCCAGTCGCCTGTCTGCATCATGCGAACACAAGCTGAACAGGTGGCAGCCTCCCGTTTACAGGGTGCAGAAGAGATACTTCAACAGAATTGCAGCATCTGATCTAAGGGTGATTGCTTGCATGAGTGGTTCTGAATGCCTTCAATACTTCGATGAAGAAAACCCGCGTCCCCGGCTGCTCCTGTTGGTGGCTTGACATCAAGCGATCAGCAAGCGTTTCGTTGTTCTGTGTCGAGATCGAGATGAGCCCGAAAACTCCACCCGCTGACCGGGAGCATGCTCCAGCAAGCTGGACTGCAGGATCTGATGATGCCGGGGTTGAGTGGTTTTGACGTACTTCAAGCGCTACGCGACAAATTTCAATTCGGCGAGCTTCCTGTTGTGATGGTGTCCGTCGCCAGCTTAGTCATGTTCCAGCCGTGGCTGGGCCTGTCGATTCGCTTAGGGCTCTGTGGCCAGGCCAAGAACCAATCAAGCTCCGTGGTAAAGGGTAGCTCGTCAGCACTGATTGACGCAGAAAGGTTGAGGAGGAAGGACAATCACGAACCAAAGGAGCACCCAAACGGAAACTGTTGCGTGGGATATCCTGTCTTATTGGCTTACTTGTTTCGAATGTCTTAGAGGGGATTAGGGGATATCTCAGCCTTATGGTTTTTGAGTGCTTTTTTCGCGTCCCCAGATAGCTTCACATGTCTCTGCTTTTGAAATTTCTGTCGAAAACTCACAGTTTGCTTGCTCCGTCTCTGCCAAGGATACGACCTGGGCTGTGCGGACTGGATCCACAAACCATTTTGCCGACAGGAGCTGATTGCTAGAGTCAAGGCCGATGATTGCAGAGCAGATTGTATGCAAGCTTCTGCAGCTGTCATCGTCGAACAGTGCTCAACCCTTGCCCTGACAGTCGCACTTGAAGATACGTTCTACAATTCTTGGCTCCATTGTCGCAAGTAAAGTATTGAGCTTAGGCTCTACGAAACGTTTCAAGCGCGATCTGAGGTTACAGGAGGAGATGGGCGCAAGTGCCATCCCAGGACGTCCAGCAAGAACTCAGTACGGATGCATCAACTTGCGACCTTTTTTCAGCCCGCTCCGGCAAGGAATCGGGGGCTGCTCGACCCGTCAGCCTTTTGAGACTTAGCATCCTTTCGGAGGCTTCAAGCACAAGGCATTGATAGCTCTGGCAAACGTCATGGAATGAAAGACGCTGCCGAGAATACCATCAGCTGGTCAACTGAAGCCGGCATGGATTGCCATGATCATACCATGATGCATCTGGTTTCCTTTAGCGCCAGGGTGGGTGCATAGATTAATGGCCTTCGGCCCGACTGGATTCCAAATTATTCCAAACAAGTCAGCAACTGGAGGTCCCCAGAAGCTCTTGCTGGCGGCCTCCCGCAACTGCCGTAGGTGATTGGTAACGGGGAGTGTTCTGCTGGGTTCGAAGAGCAAAGCACGGGAGACCCAATGACATTGACACGTAGGAACCTCCTCCAAACTCCCCATCATGGCCCAGTGAGTAGACAAGAGCCCTTCGGGGCCCATACCTCGCTGATGCAAGCTTCGGATAATGTGGGGCATAGGTGTACCATGTTTGCAACTGCCGTCCTTTCCAAGCCTTCGTCGTCGAACATCAACCGTATGAATGCGTGTGGGGTGCGATGTGCAGCTTGCTGCACTTGTGATTCATCCTAGAGACTCTTCGGTACAACTGCAAACAGAAACCCACCCTGAAAGGGGACCTAATGCAGCCCAGCTTCTGACGAGAAGCAGGAGAACGTCTGCAACATCATTGAGGACCGCGAGGCTCGTTGGGACCCGGTTGGTTTGTGTTGACTTTTCGGGTTTAGGGTTGCAAGCACTCGGAGCCCGTGCTGCATTCGAGGGAGAATTTTCTCCGCAGGATGAGACGCCACGATCCGAAGGGGAGAAGAGAACAGAGGAGGGAGAGGAGGAGGCTGGACGGCAACTATCTGCTCGCCATGACTTGCTGCCTTGAGAGAGGCGGGCCGAGAAGCGACAGCTACCGCACGCCGAGGCAGCTTTAATGCACCGACTGTGAAATGGCACAGTTCGTCGAGCATCTCGTGTCACTTGTGGATCGATTAGAAGCATGTCAGAGCATTGGAACTGCGGCCCGCGATGTGCTACTGCATGTGGAGCGTGTATATGCCGCCGGCAACGTTGTGTCCCATGGGCAGTGTCATGTCGAGATTGATTTCTATGCCTCAATCTGAGATTTTCTGTGAACAGCTCCATCGACTTGATTCAGCTTGTTTAGCCTCGGGGAGCATGGTTGTTTGCGGTCTGTGACTGGCAGAAGGCATTTTGTGATGAGTGTCGCTCTTGGTACACGGACTACGAGATCGGCAGCTCTCGCGCCGCACCACTCCAGACTCCGCACCCCTCGCTTCTGGCATCGTTTCTTCGTCGTCAACATGGCCCAGGGTTTCACGAGCTTCGGCTGGCTTGACAACCGCACCCGATCGCGTTCGGTTGAATTCTGACCTTTTGTCCGACGATGACGTTCCGGCTTTCGTTTTGGATGTTGGGTTCTTGTGCTGCGAACCGCCTTGATCATTGATTCTGCCCTATTCAGCGAACAATCACCTTTCTCGGCATTGTTCAGAAAAGGAGCGGCAATGCTTGTGCAAGTTACGAACGACGAACCAGCGTCTCAGTTTTGTCGTTTTCTGTTTGCTGTCATCTTAACTACTATTCTTTCATGTTCATCTCGCGAAGTTCGCTTGTGCCGGCACGTTTAAGTTCGAAGGCTGCGTGCTGAGAACGTCGAGCCTGTCTGAAGACTCTCATGCTGCTTCGTTGAGCAAAGAGGAGTGACATTGTGGACTGTAGCGAGGAGAGAAGATGTCATGCAGCATAACACATTTGCAGCAGCAGCATTAAAACTGATGCTTCTTCGGAAATGAGACTTGCCAGGCCCTGTGACCTCGACGGCGCTTTTTGCCAACGTTGCAGCAGTCTTGGTGTGCTGTCTGTCCACTACAGCAACTACAGTACGCCTGCGATTGAACCCGTTCGTTTACGAGAAGGTCAAGAAGCTCACATCGCCTCAGGATCAAGAAGAGGCCCGTGCACATGATATGGAAAGCACGTAGCTCAAGATGCTACCAGCTGTGACAGCTTCTCCTGTTTCCGCCGTGCAGTCAGCACCACTAAATGGCATGCCCTTCCGGTTTCATTCTCAGGGGCGGCTAAATGGAGCTTAACCGTACCTGCTCAGAAGCTCCACTGACTGCAAGTCGCACAAACTCGTACTCGAAGATATACAATGCAGATGATTTGCTTCAGGAAGTGAAGCTCAATAATTTAGCTCTATCATGGCCCAACAGATTGCCGCTTCTCAGCAAGGCAGTCACTGAACAACCAAGCACGCCAAAGGAGGGTCACCCTAACCCCGCACCGAGTATCGAGACAGGTGCTGAACATGCAAAGCGGCTTCAAAGCTGCTTCTAGCAATCCTGCCATGTGTCAGGGCGCATGCCTGATGCAGTTTCAGGTCTGGCAGCAACACCTCGGCTTCAGAACAATGCAGACCTAGAGGATCCCCGAAAAAAGCTTCAGAAGTTTCCAGGCTTCGCACCTTAACAGATGACGAGAGTCTTGCATCGAAGTATTCGAAGTATTGGAGCAAAGAACAGTGTTGATGGCGCTGTTTTTTTTCCTCCTGAAGTGCTGCACGTGAGCATCATCAGCTTGATGTGGGATGTCTTTTCGACGTAATGGAGCTGGCGCGAGGATCCTTAGCATCAGCTAAACAGCCCTTACGGAGGAATTGCACGCCTTCTCAACAAATCCCAGCGGTGCTTCCAATGCTGCACAATCTATTTGGACGACTTACCTCGTCTCGCTTCGATAGCATGCCCGTGGCCTCGCGGTGACGAGCTGGAGCCAGCAGTGATGCTCATGGCGGCCGTGGGAAATTGCCGCACATGGTGCTGCAGTGGAGCCTGGGTATCCTATCCCCGAATTTCGCATCAAGCTGCCGCATGCATCAACGTGTGAGCTGGAATCCGTCTAATCTGTTGTGCCGTTCAGGCAGCTGGCGTTGACGAGCTTGTTACGGTCTTCGAGCAGTTCGAGAAAGCTAGCGCAGCGTCTCTTGATGATATTGCCAAGAAGCACATGCAGCTTGTTTCGCCTGTTTCACGTGAATCGTGAACCATAGCTAGATCATCAGTACCAGGCCTCCGCAATGAGAGTACACGTCGTTTGTAGACCCCAGTACTGAGCATGCTTCAGCTGAGGTTCTCGATCCAGCACACAGAAACTGGGCGCAGCTATCAACCATACGTAATTAGACCTGCATGTGCATTGCATCCCCGGTATTTATTTCGAATGCTGGATGTTGCACACTCCCTGATGCCTCGCAGTGGGTGGCATAGAGTGCGTGCAAGAAGGAGATGTGAGTGTCTGTGTACGGGGCCGGCGGAATCGTGCCTTCACTCAAGGTTTCAGATCCCGCGCACATACTTTCGATATCGTGAGTCTTGAAGCCGGGTCGGCAAGAATTGCAATCTGCACCGTCACCAGAATGCCCAGAATGTAAACACGGTGGGATATCGGAGATTGAAATCCGCATGTGCGCTTGTAAGCATGCGCAAGAAGAGCGCGAGACACAATCGGTGGTCCGGTGGGCCGATGGCCTGAGAGTCGCCAGACGACCCCTGTGCACGGCCGAAAGAAAGAATGAAAGACAGAGAGAGAGAGAGAGAGAGAGAGAGAGAGAGAGTGAATATATATATATATATAAATAAATAAATATAAATATATATATATATATATATAGATATAGAGATAGGGAGAGAGAGCCTACAGTACAGCTGGACTCTCCTTTCACACAGAGCTGGGGGGGGGCACAATGCTGCAACCCTCAGAAGACCAAGGACTCGGCTGCGCGCACAGCGTGGGGGGGGCGGGGGGGGTGTACTCACGAGTATCTCCCTCCGAAGCCGCAAGCAAGCAAGCAAGCAAGCAAGCAAGAGAGAGAGCCTAACAGGCGGTACCATAACCTGCCTCAGCAGAAGTCAGCGCCAACCTGAGTACCTCCGAAATAGCTGCCGCTCTGTAGCACCTAGAACCCAACTTTTTGATTTGTGGGCATACGCCTGCCTCGCTCATTCCGCCTGCCATCCGAGTTCTAATTCGTGTGCGATCGCGCTGCGGGGGAATCCTCTCAAGAAGTTGTCCCTTGATGACAGGCCTGTTCTTTGCATTGTTCGGGGGGCTCTCCAGTTAGGTTGGGTGGTTTGCACTTACAGGAAGTCAAGGGAACCAACTTCCAACAATAATCCGAAATACCTTTGGTGATTTCTCCTTTCGGAGGAAAGACCTTTGCTTGTAGGCTCCGGCCTACCTCTTTCAATCCGCCTGCCATCTGAGTTGATAATTAGATTGTACATTATTTTTGGGGGAATCCCCTTTCGATATTTCAGAGCAAGCTCTTGAGGCCCAACACCGAACATGTCTGTCTTGCTGTACTTCGGGCTTTGCTACAACTGACAGTGCTTTGTTTTGCAACAGATGTTGGACACTCTATTGAGGCAATCATATGCTCTTCCCACCGCCATTGACTTTGAGCAGGGGGCGAAAGCTTGATGTTGCACTGGGTTTTTTGAATGATAATGTTTTCTTATCTTGATCAGGCGCAACATCAACAAGGCCAGGGGAGCTTGTTTGTTTTTGAGAACATACATACTTCCTGTCTTCGCTATCGCACACTATATGACCTTAGTCAATGGAAGTATTATGTTCGTTCCTCACTCCCCTCAGCCTGCATTACACACATGCGGGGCTGTGGCCCGGGGACTCCTCCCCAATGCCTCATACGTACCATATGGGGGGCCAATAGGCCGGGAGTCTAACTCGCCTCCAATGCCCTGGGCAAGAAGAAGAGAGAGTGAGCATCCGCCGCGTTCTTGTTCGGGGAGGAGCACTCGGCAACGGGGGGTCTGTGGGTCAGGAGAGAGTAGGCTCTCCTGGCCCCGGGGTAAACGCTTGCCTGAGCGGGGGTGGCTTGAGGCCATGCGTCTGTTGGCTGCCGTCTCAGCTCAGGGGCGCTACTGTCCTGAGCCCCTCTCACGCGGAGATAGTGCCAAAACGTCGTCGCGA